TATGACAAATGAATTTTAAGGAATAATCAATTATTCATTAAATTATTTATTTTTCTATTTAAACAATTGAATTTCGTGAAATTTTCTAATAAACATTTATTTAAAAATGAATTGCAGTTAAAATTCTAGTTAATCATTGAATATTAACAGCATTAGAGCGTCAATTTTTAGAAATAATTTTATTTTGAAAAGGTTTCAAATTAAAATCTTTGAAAATCTAAATTTTTCATACTTTTAACTATCTGTATAATTAATTTTTGTGAAACAGTTTAATTGAATTTTTTTTATAATATTTTAAGTTTTTATGTTCTAATTTAAAAAAATTTTTAATTACAAAAATAGTATCAATTATTCCTGAATTTGAATGGTCAATTTTTTTAATTTTGTAATTAAAATTTAAATTTTCAATATTAAGATGCAAAATATTTATGGTAATGTAAAAATTATTCTAAACTGATTTTTAAAAATAGAGTTGATTCTAACTATTCTAAACGTAGGTTTTTTTAAGTTGACTCTATGAATATTAGCAACAATTATGTGGCACAAAAAAAAATTTTTTTTCATTCAATGAATATACTTTTAAATAAGAAAAGTCTTTTTTTTCCTAAGGGAATTTGTAACAAGATTGTATATTAAGGAGAAGAAAAAACAGGGTAGTTGTGTGTATATATTATTCACTATATATATGTTTGCCACCGGTTGTTTGCATATGAACTTCGCGGACAAGACGATTATGACGACATTTATGTCATGGCATTTTACGAAGAAATTTATACTGTTGCTCACGAATCTTCTTTTCATCGGTAGTACATTATCGTTATTAAAATGCGATATTTTCGTTTTGAAACGTGGGCGTGAAATCGCTATATATGTCGACTCATTCAGTCTTAAATTCCAAATGCACTTTTTATTTCCATCTTCTTTTAGTGCAAATTTCTATCTCTGAGGAACCACTTTTATATGTATGCCGGAAAGGGAGAAAAATTTTATTCGAGTCCACACCTCTATGTTTGGGACCACTATTAATGTAAAAAGTTACATTTTTTGTTTTAAAAAAATAATGTGGGGAAAAAAGATTTTTTATAATTCTGTTAAAAAAATAAGGGGAAAGAGAAAAAAAAATTCTCTCCAGCGGGGAATCGAACCCCGGTCTCCCGCGTGACAGGCGGGGATACTGACCACTATACTACTGAAGACGATGGGTGTGTCTTGCGATAAAACTCAAGACGCCGTAGGCGAAGGTGTAGCGTCGCATTTGAAATTTTTGTCATAACATAAAAATAACCTACTTGTTACTAAATTAATAGTTTAATCGGTAAACACTGTGTGAATAAAAATTTTTAATAACAATTCTATGTTGCTTCAACAATTTTAATTTTTATCACTCTTAATAGCATATAGCATATCTTAATAGCACTTCAATTATTATTATAAATTTTTACTAATACTTTTATACTATTTTTATCAACAACTTTTACTTTTATTTTTTACTACTAATTTTTTACTGCTCTCAATAACATTTATTTTTACTAATATTTTTTACTACTATTAACATTGTTTTTTATTAATATTTTTAATATTCTTCTACTATTCTATTCTTATTATTAATTTTTACTATTATTTTTTTACTATTTTCAGTACTATTGATTTTTACTATTCTTATAAACAATTTCTTCTTTTATTTTTTACTATACTATCTTTTTACTACTATTAGGATTAATTTTTACTCATTTTTTACTACCATTCTACTACTCTTATTAAAAATTTTTACTACTATTTTTTACTACTCTCAGTAACATTAATTTTTACAAATATTTTTAACACCATTCTACTATTCTATTCATCTTATTAACAATTTTTACTATTTTTTTTACTATTCTCAGTAATATTAATTTTTACTAATCTTTCGTATACTATTCTACTATTCTTATCAACAATTTTTACTTATTTTTTTACTAGTCTCAGTAACATTAATTTTTACTAATATTTTTACTACCATTCTACTATTATTATTAACAATTTTTACTACTATTTTTTTACTACTCACTAACATTAATTGTTACTAATATTTTTTACTACAATTAGCATTAATTGTTACTAATATTATTAATACCATTTTACTATTCTATTCTTATTAACAATTTTTACTATTATTTTTTACTACTATTTTTGACTATACACATATATGTTTTACTATCCTTATTAGTATTAATTTTACTAACATTTTTACTACCATTCTACTATTAATTCTTATTAACAATTTTTACTAATATTTTTTACTACTCTCATTAACATTAATTTTTACTAATATTTTTACTTTTCACGCAAAAAAGGACTTAAAGTAAAAAAACTACAACTAAACGAGTATAGAAACTCGTGACAATAATTTTTTCCTTAATTCATAGAGGAACATAGTCAAGGTTGGACCACCTTTTCAACATTTTTTTTTTGTCTAAAATTAAAAAACTTTTACTCTGTTTTTTCTTTAATTATTTAGCTTAAAGTGCAAAAAGTAGATTTAAATTTCCCGCGCTTTGTAGCTTTGACCACTATATGTTCAGGTTCGCGCATCAACTTCGACCAATTCTATATTTTATGAAAAATTGTTAATTTTGTAACTCAACGCTTAATTCGCATTGGAAGAAATCGCGCTAAGTTGAAATTTCCAGTTCATCAAAAACACTCTGATTTTTTTATATAAACAGAACTATTTTTATACCATTTTCATTATTTCTCACTATTTATATTAAATACTTTTCTTATTTTTTTCTTGAATAGACCAAAACCATTTAAACACAGAAAAGAAGAATTACTCAAAAATTTCTTATATTTACAATATCGTTTGTAAATTTGTAATCTCATACAGAAAGGAGAATATATATACAGATCACTAGGAAAATAAGGAAGAATTATTGTTTCTTTATGTTCATCGCTAACCAGTGAACCATACGGTGAAACTTGTGAGAGAAAAATGAGAATCACAAGTGCGCAAAACAATATCGCTTTCTTTAGCGTGCACAACCAACAAAAAGAGAGAAGTAATTCGTCATGCCTTCAGCCTCCAAGCGAGTCCTCTATTTTTTCATTAACCTCCTCGCAACAGTATATATATATACTTTTGTCCTCTTCACTAAATCAACCAGTTTTAACGATCACGGTCCAAGTGTCTTGCGTAAAAGACATCTCCTCCAAAGTACGATAAACCAAGAGGAGAGAGAGAGAGAGAATGTGTGGGTAAAAGGATGAATCTCGTTCCAGTCGGTCAGTCAGTGGGTGATTAAGCGGGCACCTCTTCTTCTCTCTTTCATTCATTTTCTCTCTCCCTCTCATTCTCTTTCTTTCTCTCTCCCTGTTTCTCTCTTTTCCTCTTCCTTTCTCTCTGTTTCTCTCTTTTTCTCTCATTCTCTTTCTTTTCCTCTCCCTCTCTCTTCCCCTCTCCTTCTCATTCTTTCTCTCTGTTTCTCTCTTTTCCTCTCATTCTTTCTTTCTCTTTCTTGTTTTCTCACTCTCTCCCTGATTTTTTCTTTCTTGTTTTCTCACTCTTTCCCTTGTTCTCTCTCTCTCCTTGATTTTCTCTTTGTTTTCTCACTCTCTCCCTGATTCTCTCCTTCCCTTGTTCTCTCTCTCTCCCTGATTCTGTCTTTCATGTTTTCTCTCTCCCCATGTTTTTCTTTCCCCCTCATTCAGACTCTTTTTCTTTCTCTCTCTTTCCCTTGTTCTCACTCTCTCCCTGATTCTCTCTTTCTTGCTTTCTCTCTCTCCATATGTTTCTCTTTCCCTCTCATTTAGTCTCTCCTTCTTGTTCTCTCCCTCTCCTCCCTGTTTCTCTCTTTTCTCCTCATTCAGTGTCTCTTTCTTCCAAGAAAAAGAGAGAGATTCTCTCTTCCATCATCGTTTTACCCTCGTTCATCTGACAGTAAAGAGGAATAAGAATAAGAAGAAGAATAAGAAGAAGAAGAAGAAGAAAAAGAAGAACCTTCCTCTTCTTCACTGTGAGACGAACGAGGGCGAAACGATGATGGAAGAGAGGAAGAACAAGAAAGAGAGACCGAACGAGAATAAACGAAAGTCGCGAAAAGAGAACAAGGGAAAGAGAGAGAAAACAAGAAAGAGAGATAAAAAGAAACAGAGAGAGAGAGAGAGAAAATAGAGACAGCGAGAGGGGAAGGGCAGAAGAACATAACTAAAGAAAGGAAGAAGAGGAAAACCCTGAACGAGTCTTGGAAAGGAGGAGAAGGAACCGTCGGTCGGTGACGGTCAGCGAGCGCGAGCTGACCTATGACCCAAGCGTCTCTCTCTCACTCAGGGCCGAGCTCTTTGCACACCCGTGCGGCTGAGGGCCCGTGAGGCCCCGGCGTGGGCGATGTTGTGCGGGAGGGGTGCATGTTGGCCCGCGGGCGTCCCGGGACCGTGAGAACACCACCTATAATATTATTTAGTCTGCCCTCAGCGCGAGAAAAGGATGGCAAGCTAAAGAGAGTGAGAGAGTGGGGGAGAGAGAGAATGATGCCGCAAGTGAGAGGGAGTGAGAGGTGAGGAGGCCCCCTCTCTTATAGGGCCCTGGCAAAGAGCAGCTAACTATAGGCGCTATACACGGTTTACTCTCGCGCATTAATTGCCGTCGTAAATTGTTGCGGCTTTCCAGTCAAGTCGATGTGAAATGGTACAACAACGCGGCACGCCATCTCAGGAGTGAACCCTTTTCAGAATTTTTGCCCTCTTTTCCGCTTTACTTTCTTACTTGTGTCACTATATTTTTGTCACTAATATCGCATTACATCACTAAAAATAGAATTCTACGGGACCCAAATACTATTCTAATTCTAAATACAATTTTACGATATTCGCCAGAAGTCCGAATGGGAACCAAAAGGTTCCCATTCGGACTTCTGGCGAATATCGTAAAAGTGTATTTAGTGCGAGAATAGTATTCGTGGGACCCTTTGGGACATCTCGGGAATGTCGTAAAATTGCGACTATATGTGACGCTTCACGGTGAAAGGAACCTTACGCGTCAAAAACATTAGGTTATGTTTTTCGTCTGTAGTGCACGAAAACTGTGCGAAACCTTACGCGTCACAAACATTAGGATCAGTCGCGGTGCACAAGAATTGAGACTAATGTTAGTATCGCGTCAGGTCTTTCGTGTGCAATGCACGAATACTGAGCCCTACGCGACAAAAACATTAGGATCAGTCATTTGTGTGCAGTGCACAGAAATTGGGCCTAATGTTAGTGTTGCGTAAAATCTTTCGTGTGTAGTGCACGAAAAATCAGCCTAATGGGACCCTACTCGACAAAAACATTAGGCTTAGTTTTCGTTCACAGCCTAACGCGACAATAACATTAGACTGAGCCTAAGGTCCCGTTCAGTGTGAAGCATCAACATTACACTTACGAGTGAAAATGTTATTCGTAATTTAAAGTTTCGCAAAAGGGATTGGGTGGTGTGATAGTGCGCGCACGCTTACGAGCATGCCAGAGGGTACTCCCCCGCAAATGTGGAGGCGCGTGTGTGTTGCCAGGCCGCCGGTTCCCTTGGGTCCCAGCTGCGTGTATACGTGATGGGGGCGAGTGGGCCCATCGGGAATCTCGGATACCTGCCGTCAGGTGGCTCCACCAGCAGCGCCCGGCAGCGAGCTGCTGGAGCAGTCGCGAAGGCGCCTTCGTAACGCGAACACCTTGCATCTTGTTCCCAAAGATGCCAACGGAAGACGGTCACGCGCCCCGTTATCATCATCAGTGATCTTTTGATATCGCGATAGATCCAATGTTTACCTAAACACAACACAGACAGAATGCAGCAGCAGGATCAACGCGAGATGACAACGGCGGTTGACCTTCACGAATCTGTATCATCCACCGAAGATGGTGCAGCGAGCTTATCGAATCTCACCCTACAAAGTGTTTTACAAAGCGTTCAGACTTATCTAACCCTCCAAAGACTTCACGCGAGTGGGGCGACCAATGTGTCATCGTCCTCGTCAATATCAACTTTGGGCCTACAAGGGGCGTTGCTCGCGGCCCTCCAAAGGGTGGCCCTCCTACCCCCGGGTCATGCCGCTGCAGCTGCTCTCAATCTGCAAGCGCTCGAGACCTATTTAACCCTTCATCGTTTACACGCGAGTGGAGCCGCGTCTTCATCGTCCGGTGTCACTGGACCTAGTCAACGTTGCTCGATAACCTTGGGCACTGGTCCCTTGTATCAAGTACCCAAAGCAGACACACTCGCTCATCTCGATATTCTCACGTCAAATTCCCTTGACGAGGACGATGGTTCGCATTTGGATTTTGTCACTGATCCCGAGGAGGATTTGGCACTCCTCGACGATGAGGAGGTTATATTGAGGGAGAATTCGGCGACGTCGAGTGCAAATCATGATGTGTTGTTGCAACGAATAGCGGAGGGGAGTCAAACTATTTTGCCGACGGGCAACAATCAGGAACAGTTGGTGCAAAGTTCAACATTACAGGCGACCTCAACGTCGACGGATGTTAATTTACAGCGAAATTGTCGGTCAGCAAGGCCCAAGAAACAATTTATTTGCAAATTTTGCAATCGACAGTTCACCAAGAGCTATAATTTGCTGATTCACGAGAGAACGCATACGGATGAAAGGCCTTACTCTTGTGATATTTGCGGCAAGGCATTCCGTCGGCAAGATCATCTCCGTGATCACAGGTGGGACTTTTGTTTTTCGATATATGATTCTCGGATTTATATATTGATCCTAAAGCTTTTTGTTTTTTTTTAACAGAAACCTTAAAGCTTTTTTATTGTTTAAATATGAATAAAAAATGGATTTAATTAAAATGTAGAAAACAATTTGTTATATTCCAAGTCCAAAATTGAGTGCGGAGCAAACTCATCAAAGTTTGTAAACTAAGAATCAGAATTAAGAATTAACTTTCCCTATATTCATGGCAGATATAAATTTCTCAAAACAAAATTTTGATAAAAAAAAAAGGAAAAACTCACCAATCACCTTTTCCTTCATCTTTCCGTTTTAGTCCTGTAACAAGAATAGTTTAAAATTAAAATTTATAAAGTGTGAAAAACTCTCAAATCATCAAATGTGACACCATTCTTAGTTAATCGAAAATGCAAATTAGTTTCGTATTTTGAAAATGGAATAAGAAAAAAATTCAAAATTTAAACAACAGAACAATATTTCATTTGGTAAAAGTTATCTCAACTTATTGAAAAGTATATAATTTCTTTCAATTTTAGGTTTTTTAAATGTTAACATTAAATGTAAACATCATTAGTTAATCAAAACTGCTAATTAGTATCAGCGAATGAGTTTTTGCTTTGGAATTAGTTAATTTTACTAATAATTTAGTAGAAATTATTATTTATTCGTAAAATTTACTAATCTAAAAGCAGTTTACTAATAAATTAGTAGGAATTACTATTAATTAAAAAAATTTACTAATTCAACAGCAATTTACTAATAAATTAGTAGGAATAGCTATTGACTAGTAAAATTTACTAATTTAAAATCAGTTTACTAATAAATTATGTAGTAGAAATTATAATAAAAGCATTTTTCTAATAAATTAGTAGGAATACCTATTAACTAGTAAAATTTACTAATTTAAAATCAGTTTACTAACAAATTATGTAGTAAAAATTACTTTTTACTAGTAAAATTTACTAATTTAAAAGCAATTCACTAATAAATTAGCAGAAATTACTATTTACTATAGTAAAATTTACTAATTAAAAAGCATTTTATTATTAAATTAGCAAAAATTACTATTTACTATATAGTAGAATTTACTAATTTACTAATTTAGAGAGTAACAAAATAAAATTTTTTTTCGATATTATTAGTTGCTAATGGCTAATTAAAAATGCCAATTTTGTAATTTCGATTAAAACTATATGACGAATTTAACAAAATTTTTAATTTTAAACTATTTGGAAAGAATTGTTTCAATTTGTCAGCGAAAAAAAAATAATAATGTGCATTTAAAAAGCGAAAAAACAGCCGGGCACTGTAATAGGAATTTAAAAGAAGATAATGAATAATAAATTTTTAAACATTGCTCGCTGTGTCTTTTAGTCGGTAGTGAAGTATTTTTGCGTCAAAACACAGCGTGATCCTTCAAGTAATGACTCATAAAAGTCCTTAAACATTCTTTATTGTTCGATCCTTTAATATTTCGTTTCTTTTTTCCCCGAACTAAAAGGAGTTAAATCGGTTATAAACACTTTATTCGAAACAACTTTTTTACTCTGGGCGCAGTGTTTAAATTTTTTACTCCATTATTTATTGTTTATTATATTCGCGTTAAAATGTAAAATTATTCTTGTTATAATTATTATTATTCCCCTTTTATCTCTCTTCATTTTCTCCTTCCTTTTTTTCTTCATTCTCCATTTTCTATTCATTATTTCAATAATTTTCAGTATTTTTGTTTTGATACAATCATTATTATTTTTAATATTTTTATAATTTAACTATTATTGTTATAATAATAATAAAAAAAATAATAATAATAGTAATAATAATTAACAATAATATTATTTATCATTATTACTGTTTACTTTTTGTTAAAATCGTTTTTTTAATTATTATATAACAAAAATGCTCAAATACGGGTCTATTATTATTATTTATTTAATTATAAATAGGCTAATAATAATAATAATAGTACCTAATATTAACAACAATAGTAATAATACCTAATGAAAAAAAATAATTTTTATTATTATTATTAATATTATTTTCTTAAATATTAAATACTATGATTATTATTTTTTTTTGTAAAGAAAGAATATTTATTTAAAAAAAAAGTTGCAATAAATGTAAAATATTTTCTCTTATTTACATTTGGATAATATTTTATGTTAATTAATTTATACATTAAATATAAAATTTATGTATAATTTTGTTTGGTTTTCAGTGATCGTTAAAAAAATTTTTTTTTCAAAAAAAAAAACATGAAATAAAAAAAAAGAATTTATAAGAACACAAAAAATGTTGAGAAACATTTTTTATGTTTAAAGTTGACAATAAATCTGAATTCTTACAAATTTGAAAGTGTCATTTTGTTACTATAAGATTTACAAACCGAATGTATATCTCTCCTTTTTGACTTCCGGGCCTTTTTCAGGATAATTTAAGTCAGTTTTAGATAAAAAAAAAAAGAAAAAATCTCGCGCATAAAAAATCAGAAAACAGGTTTATTATCTGACACCATCTGCCACATGTTGGTTAATTTCAAGAATCATTTGTAAAATTTATACTATATTACGTGAAATTTATGTATTGATGGAGAAAATAATTTTCTAAATTTACACGCTTATATTTTATACAAATATAGATATATAAATATATATATTTAAATAATTATCGTTAATATATATTTTATTTAATTTTTTAACTACATTTATAATTATATAGGTAATAAAAATAACAATAACAAAAAAATAAATAATAATAATATTAATTTAATAATAGTAATAATAATAATATTCTTTCGCCTTTCATGAGAGAAGTCTAATAATAATAATTATAATAATAAGAATAATATTCAATATCGCTTAATAATGCTTATTGTTTTTTATTATTGCTACAATATAATTGTTATTGAGATTTTTTCAAATCTTCAGAATATTTTGTTCTGTAAATTCGAAAGCAAGTAAAATTTTCCCTTCTGACAATGTGTTACAATAATGTAAAAAATAGCATTCAATGCACATTAGTAACAATAGAAATTATAAATTGTTGTAAAAAGAAAAATGATAAACAATGAAAAATGCCGTACTATTTGTTCCTGAATAGATTTATTGTCTCTTTATTTTATCGCTTATGATTTGTACTCTGAAGATAAATACATTAACGATTAGCACTCAATATGCTTTACGATCTTGTTTTCCAATGAGAAATAATTGTTAACAACATTAACAAAACAAAAAAAAAAAAAAATAATAATAATATGAATAGACATAGTCATAACAATTAGTAATAGTAATAAAAAACAATGTTATTTTCAAAAGAATAAAAAGTAAATAAAAATCCATAACATTTCTGAACAATAAATAAAATAAATAAAAATATAAAATTAAAAAAAACCTTTACATCTATTGCTGTAAAAATAAAAAATAAAAAAAAATAAAATTAATAATGAAAATTAATAATAATTATTATCATTATTAATTTTATTTTTTTTAGGATTTTTTATAAAAGGATTTTCTATAAAAATAAAAAATCCTAAAAGAAATAAAATTAATAATGAAAATTAATAATAATTATCATTATTAATTTAATTTTTTTAGGCTTTTTTATAAAAGGATTTTCTATAAAAATAAAAAATCCTAAAAGAAATAAAATTAATAATGATAATTATTATTAATTTTCATTATTAATTTTATTCTTTTTAGGATTTTTTATTTTTACAGTAATAGATGAAAATGTTTTTTTTAATTGTATATTTTTATTTATTTCTTATTTATTTTTTATTCTTATAAAAACAGGATTATTATTTTTATTACTAATATAATAAATAATATTAATATAAATAATAATAAAAATTGTGATAATAATATTAATATTGATAATGATAATAATAATAATTATTATAATGAAAAAAAGTAATAAATTTATTTTTTATACAAAGAGACTAAATATAATTGGAACTATTTTGCACCTGTAATTTTTTAATCTGAATTTGGTGATTGTAGAATAAAAAAAATGTTAGTATTAATATTGTTAACAATTGTAGCATTATTTCTAACTAATAATAATTAATTATATTAACGGGATATCAGATTGAAATTTTTTTCTATGAAGCCGCACTTCGAAAAAAGTACCTAAGAAGTACAAAATTTGAGGTTATGTTTATAATTTTTTGAATGAAAATACGGAAAGAGGACCAACTTTTATTAAAAACTACGGTTTACTAAGTCTTTATAACATCTAAAATAATTAGTAAAAACTTATTTTAGTTTTAAAATTAAACAAATTAATTTTTAAATATTGTAAAAATAACACAAATATAACCTTAAAATAATTTGTTTCTTCGGCACCTTTCTTCGGAGCGAGTTAAAAATAATTAAATTCAAGTAATCTATATGGAAACTTCGCATTTACTTTGACATCCCCTTAAAGGCTATTGTAATTTATTATAATAGATTATTATAAATAATTATTATAATTATTTAATATTTATAATAGAGAAAAGATGTCTTTTTCTTTTTTTTTAATAAAAATTCATTTTAAAAAAATTCTGAAGAAATATTATTTAAATAATAATAAATAATAATTTTTTTTTTTTACGAAATTTCTAGAGATTGTCGACTTTTGTTTACAGGTACATTCACAGTAAGGAGAAGCCATTCAAATGCGCAGAATGCGGGAAGGGATTCTGTCAGAGTAGAACATTGGCCGTCCATAAAATTCTTCACATGGAGGAATCGCCCCATAAATGTCCGGTTTGCGCGCGAAGTTTCAACCAGAGGAGCAATTTAAAAACGCATTTATTAACTCACACTGACATCAAGCCATATCATTGCGCGAATTGTGGCAAAGTTTTCCGAAGAAATTGCGATTTAAGAAGGCATTCCTTGACTCATAATCTCGGTGTTGCGGCATCGCCACTATCACCGGGAATTCCCGTACCTGGATCGAGCACTGCTGTTCTCCAGGAGACATCCTAGCGCATTTTTATTTCTTCTTTCCTTCAAACTATTTTTTTTTTTGTTCGTTTCATTTCTCTTCCAATTTTAATTTTTTCATTTCTTTCCCAATTTTTAATTTTTTCATTTCTTTTCCAATTTTTAATTTTTTTCATTTCTTTTCCAATTTTAATTCTTATTCATCTCTAAATTAAAACTGTAATGTGAATCTCTTTTTGCTATTTTCTCCCCCGTAGCGAATAATTTTTCCCGATTTTTTTAGGCTCGTGCGATTAAAATGTGTTATAATTATTTTTTAAATATAATAATAATAATGGAATTAATAAATTTAATAAGTGAATTCACGTTGAAAAATAAATCCACATATAAAATATTTTTTAAATATTTTTTAAATATTTTAAAATTACTTATTTTTTTATTAATTCGCTGATTTATTTATAAACTACGAATGTGTATAAGAATAAGAGAGAAAAAAGAGAGAGAGAAAGATAATTTAATTAAAATAAATAATTGTATACTATTATACGATAAACGTGTCTGTGTTCTGTATGTAGAAAGGTAAATTTATTTTTTAATAAATTTTTTGTCTTCCGAAAAATTTATAGATTGTTAATTTGAAGTGAAAATACATAAAAAGATCTAATTTTTAGTGGCGATTGTAATAATATATTCAAATTCTTAATACAACCAAAATATTCAATAAAAATTATTTTTATTTTCCAAAAGATTCAATAAAAATTTTTTTTATTTTCCAAAATTAAAAAAAAGTTAAAAATAAAATGATCATAATAACATAAAATTTTTTTTTAGCAATGGAGCGTCAAATTAAAAAAAAATGTATAAATGAATGATCGAGAAGGGATTTTTTGCTTCTTCAAAATCGAGAAATGATAACAAATGGCAAATTTCCAAAAAATTATTTTGTTTTTACAAAGAGAATTTTAATATTAATAATAAATGAATAAATGAATTATTGCGATTTTAGAAAAGTGTATGACTTTTTGTATATTTTATAGTAAGTGCGACATTTAACTTTGGTGATAATTTGTTATGGCAATAAATATTATTATTACATTTATCGATATTTCTCGAGATCGATTATTATTATAAATTCAAATCGATTATATCAAATTTTCTATATATATACTCTTTTCGATGTTTTGAAAAATCAGTTTTTCTTGGAATTGCAAATTGAGACAAAAAACGAATTAAAAGTTTTAATTTCTTTTTGATTCGTTTTTTGTCTCAATTTGATATCCTTCTCTAAATTTGAATTAGGAAAAATATTTACTGACTTTTTGCTTTTGAATTAGTAAAATTTATTAATAAATTAGTAGAAATTACTATTTATTAGTAAAACTATTTGCTATTTATTGATTCAAAAGCAAAAAGTCAAATTTTTACTAATTCAAATTTAGAGATAAGAAAAAACTGTGAAAACAATCTTTTTTGTTGTTGTTAATATCGATATTAATAGGGTAAGTGATAGTTAGAAAATCTAATTAAGCCGAGAGTTGATTATTCAAAATGTAAATTTAATTTCGTTATCCCTCGAATATCAAATAAATTAAATAATTTTCAAAATAAATTAAATTTTCTATATGCATTTGTTGTTTTTTAAGAGACCTATTTTTACCTATTTTTACCCTTTTTTACCTATTTGTAACTATTTTTACTTATTTTAAACTATTTTTAACAATTCTTACTTATTTTATCCTATTTTTACCTATTTTTACTTATTTTAACCTATTTTTAACAATTTTTACTTACTTTAACCTATTTTACCTCTTTTAACCTATTTTTACTTATTTTAACCTATTTTTTACCTCTTTTTACTTACTTTAACCTACTTTACCTATTTTAACCTGTTTTTACTTATTTTTACTTATTTTAACCTATTTTTACTTATTTTAACCTACTTTACCTATTTTAACATATTTTAACTTATTTTACCTATTTTTACTTATTTTAACCTACTTTACCGGTTTTAACCAATTTTAACTATTTTTAATTTTTAAGAAAGTGGTAATTTTCCACAATTCGACATTTTTGCTCTCCGTTAAAATAAAATAAATAATTCTGAATATACATAAATCATAAAAAAAAAATTTCCTATTCCCGATATTCGATGCCTGGAAATCGGCAAATATAGAAAACAATGTGTATAATTTTTGGGATTTAAATTACCATCTGCTTTTGTCCGCCTATAAATTCTTTTTTTTTCTTTTAGAGAGAGAAATAAAACACCTCAATTATCTTCAGAAAACATTTATAATTTTTTTTAGAACGCCTTAATTAGACATTTGAAGAAAACTGATCATCGGTAGGCGCATAAATATATATATATCTTTCTTGTTTTTCCACGATGGGTTTCAAAATTTTTAAACTCCCAAGGGTTTCAAATTACTGGTTTTTAAATTGATCGATAACAAATCAGCTTCCGACTGAGTGGTATATATTATATTTGAAACTGATGAGGAAACTTCTATAATTATACAATATATATACTATATATTAAAAGTCAAGGAGTGGACTTCTCTTTTATTTCCAGTAGAAATGTTAAATTAATGTAAATTGACAGACCCTTCAGTTCATATTATAAATCAAATTTATAGAATTAATTATATTTAATTTCATTATTTCAAGTTTTTTTTTCTTAACGAATTTTTTTAGACGATTTTTCAATTTTTTAGTTTTTTAATTCTTCAGTATTTCAATTTTTCAACTCTTCAATTTTTCAATTCTTAAATTTTTCAATTTGGAACTTCTTCAAATTTTCGCTTCTTTAATTTTTCAAATTGGATTCGCCAGTTTTTATTTTCAAAAATTGATAATCGGATTTGCGATTTTGTAATTTTGACTTTAACTTTGACTTTGACTTTGACTTTGACTTTGACTTTGATTTTGACTTTGACTTTGATTCGATTTTGACCAGAATTTTGACTTTTACTTTCACTTTCGCTCAGACTTTGACGTTTACTTTGACTTTGATTTTTACTTTAATTTTGGCTTTTATTTTAATTATGACTTGGCTTCGACTTTGATTTTTACTTTAATTTTGGCTTTGATTGTGTTTTGACTTTGATTATGACTTTGACTTTGACAAATACTTTTACTTTGACTTTCACTTTCGCTCAGACTTTGACGTTTATTTTGACTTTGATTTTTATTTTAATTTTGGCTTTGATTGTGTTTTGACTTTGACTTTGATTTTTACTTTAATTTTACTTTGACTTTCACTTTCGCTCAGACTTTGACGTTTATTTTGACTTTGATTTTTACTTTAATTTTGACTTTGACTTTGATTATGAATGACTTTGACTTTGACTTTGACCTTCATGGCAAAAGTGGAAGTCAAAGTGAAAACGAAAGTCAAAGTTAAAGTTAAAGTCAGAGTAAAAATGAAAGTCAAAGTCAACGTCAAAGTTAAAGTCAAAGTCAAAATGAAAGTCAAAATCGAATCGAAAGTCGAATTTCAAAACAAAATTGCCATTGCGACCCTCAGCAACAGGTATAGACACTGTTGTCCTTTTTCTTCCCTTTTGTCTCTAATTAATTACCGGGAGACGCTTTTTCTTTTTTTTTTCTTCGTCTTCTTCTTTTCTGTCTATATTCGAGGCGTGTTTTACGAGAATATGGCCAAAGGCCAAAAAAGAAAAAACGAAAAACTAGGATCATATTACAAAGAAGTGGCCGCCAGGTGCTCGCAAGTACATGATACTGAAGTCTAGGGTTACGATGATTTCTCTTGGCGATGCGATGCCGCGCGGCAAGTTTTACTCGTCATTGAGAGTCCGATAAGGGAAGAAGAACTTGGATCAAGTCAAAGAAAGAGAGAAAATTCACGCATTTAAAATACACGCGCACCCATTTCGTCTTTAAACTTCACCTATATATAAAACCTCTCGCGCACACCTTTTCTTTTTATGGGGTTTCATAAAGTCACTCAAAATAATTTTATACCATAATATACAAAAAGTATTTTACCCTCTGGCATTGTATATTTGTCTTTTTTGTCTTCTCCTTCGCTTTAATGGTTGAATTGAAAGAATGCAAAAAAAATTCCTGATCTAGACTATTAAGTGAAATTATTTTTTTTCCAAAAAAGAAAAAAGTCGAATGGCGAATGGCGAGCTTGTAAGATTCGCCTAGTGGCAAATTTTACAAGCTCGCCATTCGCCATTCTTCATTCGCCATTTTGAATTTTTAAAAACGATCCTCTTGCACTCCTTTCATATAATTTTTCCAAGACAATGAAAAAAAAAAATTATTATTAATTCATTCAATGTAGAAAATTAAGAGAAAAAAGGAACAAAAACTGAAAAGTCATAATATATGAGAAAGTTGATCCTTTCACGTAGGTAGGAAATTGGTATAAATATATCTAAATGGAATGCTTCCTACGGACAAAGAATTGTCGATAAATAAATTGTAATAAATTGTGTTAACTAACGACGGTGTAAATAAATAGTTGTATATATGTATATATATATATATATAAATATAAAATGCGGTACTGTTCTTATAGCGAGAGCGGTGCCTTATTTTGGTTCTTAACGGTGAAAATTAATCTTCCGAACGGCCCACACAGCCAATTATCTTGAGAAAATATTGTATATAGTTATTTAGTGACGTGCGATAATAGCGATGTATCGGAAAGGCCCCGCCAATAGATATTCTTGGAATTATGCACGAGGCATCGATTTTCATAAGGAAATAGTTCCTATTCGTCTTTTTCAAAAATATTAACACTAATATTTACTTGAAAATGAGGTAATTTCTATTTTAACAATTGTCGAGCGTCGAAAAAGAAAGAAAAAGAAAGAAAAGGAAGAAAAGGAAAAAAATAATCAGAAAGGAAAAATGAAACAATAGGAAGAATTAAACACACAAGGAAAAAAATTTACTAATTGAAAAGCAAAAAGTAAGTTGCAATGATTCAAATTCGAATTCTAAAATTAAAGATAATACTATAAGAATAATAATTTTTGAAAAAGTTCTTTGAGTTTTTAAATTCATTTGTTTACAATTCAATTTTACAAAATTTCAATTATTGGCAAATTCATCAATAAAATATATATTAGAAAATAGAAACTTCAAATAATTTCCCCCAAAAAAAATCCGCAATAAAACTTACTCAAAAAAATTAATTCTATACAGAATTGTTAATTTAAAATTTGAAAAATTCATAAATTTTCAAAGATTTTATATTAAACCTTTTCAAAATTCAATTATATCTCAAACTTCTACTCTAATGCTTTTAATATTCAATTATTATCTAAAATTTTAACTAAAATCCATTTTTTAATCAAATTTCTACTAGAATTCAATTAAAATTTTTAAGAATAATTACATTT